TCTGTTTTTTTCTGCTCCTCTTTCTCCCTTTCTTTTAACTTTTCACCTCACATATCTCTCATTCTTTTTTCTTTTTTTTCCTCTTCTCTTTTAATTCCATTGGATTTAAAATAATGTCTTTTTTTTTACATATGTATATCGAATGGAGCATTATAACAAAATCTGTAATTCTCCTCTTGTAAAAGTAAATTTGTTGACCTACTTGGGATTAATGCTGCCTTCATGTGGCCTCGTAAAGATGATCTTTTCCACTTGTAAGGTGAAAATTACCTTTGGATTGTGTTCAAGTGCTTTTGTCATGGTAGAGTAGAAAACATTTCAGATCCACAGATTATCCTAACCTGCTACTTGGGCAAGACAGTAATAGACGTCCTAATTCATCTGCTACAGAAAGAAGAGGACGCATCAAATGCATAGACTTTCTGCTAGCGAGAATTTGATAAAATCTAATGATTAGTCATTTTAAACAATACAATTTTTTATTTGTATGTCACAGCATTGACTAGGATACAAAGAAACAGGACATTTAACAATGCCGTGTTTGCCATACAAATTCCTTTCTCTGCTCTTTGCTATGTTGAAAAGTCAAAGTTCACCTCATCTCGGCAACTCGGGTATAATAACATTTTTCCAGCTTTCCAGTGGAAGTGCACTTTTCATGTTGTGTTTGGTATTTACAATCATTTCAATACCACATGAAGGCAGCATAATTGGAAAAATAAACAAATGAACACATATTTGTACAGCAACTTTGACTCTATTTGAGTATATAATATATCAGGGAGAAGTGTAATAGTTTTAAACTCTTAAAAAAACAAACCTTTCTTATACATCCAAGCTTTGCTGAAATCAACATGTTGTTTCCTACAGTATATTTTAAATAGTGTTGCGCCGATGCAATTTTTTGGCCCCGATACCGATACCCGATAGCTTGTTGTGAAGTATCGGCCGATACCGATACCATCTGTTTGAAATTGATGTGTGTGTGTGTATATATACGAAGAACTGCATACTACTTGGATGTAAAATAATTGCCATCATGGCTTTGTCAAGCTGCTGCCTACCTTTGTGAAGCAGGAAAAAGACTAAAACAAAGTGAATCCATCAGAACTTTTTATTGCCTACCTGGAATGGGTGACAACAGTTGAATAAACTTTTGGCTCTCAAAATGGTATCTGTGCCCCATTTTTTGATACTTGCCGATACCGATACCACCATTTTAGTGCTGGATTGGGGCCCTGTCTGATACTGGTATCGGTGCAACACACATTTTAAACAACCTTTACGGAATAACTATAAGTCTGCTTCTATTGGAACTTCTACATATAAGTTTATGGGTGATAGCAAAACTAGATTCTAATACATGATGTGCATCTGTAGTAGCAGCATGAAATGCAAGATTGCACCAGTTGATGCCAGAACTTACAGATAAAAAAAGTCATATTTCAGCTTAAAAAGTCTTAGATTATATACCATTATAAAAACAGCCTTTTGTGCTTTACTGTTATATTTTACAGACACATTCACTTCTCAAGCTGTGAATAGACACAACACCCACCGATGACTTTGTATAAGAGCCAGGCTTGAATGGGGCCTCTCATTGTTTCTCTATTAACTCACCAGGATGATTGTAATAAAACGAGTCTGACCTCACTGTTACTCTTGTACAATTGAGGCTTTCATTTGTTTTTTTTTGACAAAGAAAGCCTTTCAATCAGCTGAGATTACACTCTCTCTGCTACTTAAAGAATGAGATCCTGTTGATAGTTTTACCCGTATTGAAAAAAAACAAAAACAATGAAGTATCGTGCTAGCAGATAAAAAAAATGTGCTAAAGTTACTTTCTTAAAGGCTATTAATTCACAACATTACAGTTGCATAAAAATAGCTTCTTTGTTAAATTTACAATTTCATTTTTGTAGTTCAACCAAGATATGGAGCTAAACTCAGATAGGGGTATAAATATAAAATTATGTTGGTTAATTATTAAAGTTAGTGATTATGATAAATATTAATGTTATCTATATGTTGGAGCCGTTCTCAAATTGTTTGAAAAAGTTATTGCTTTTGTCACTTAAACGGATGTATTTTAATCCAATTATGTTTTAGGTGAAGATGCTTTATGAGACGCTATTATAATTGATTATCGATGATTATAAGATGCTATGATACTAGATAAACATGTGTAGCCTATACATGAGTTTTTTTGAAAGAAAACCTGCTCCTGTCGTAGCTAATGCAGTTTAAGTTTCTGCGAAGCTCCTTTAACTTTGAATAAATGTGTTTTACTACATTCAGGGCTGTATAATAATCCAAACACTGAGCCAAGAGCATTTATATATAAGTAGAGGGGGTTGATCTTAACTGTGAATTTAGCAAATATATTGGAACTCTCTAAAGCTCTATATCACACTGTTCAAAGAGAAACAGAGAACAGAAATAAAATAAAACCAAAGAGTTGGAGCTGCTGCTTTTATACAGATTGCAAGAAAAATATTTATTCCTGACTAGTTTGATCTTCATGTTCAACAACTCTGTCACACACAGTGAATCTAGGGTTTTTTGCCCTCTTTGTAAGTGTTCTGCCAGTTTTTGAGAATCCAGACATATAAATATGGATCCATGGTTAAATATCTTCCCCTTTCTTTAAATTTTTATTTAAAATGTTTCTTTTGGGGTGGACATTTTTTTTTACTTTTTTTTTCTTTTTGCTAAGTGAGCCATTGGATTCCAACTGAAAGCATATTGTTTAGTTCAATATATTAAAATTCAATATATAAAAGTGTGATATAAAATGATACACGCCATTTTAATGAAACAAAAAAAGCTCAAATAATTAGCATTTATATCCTGTAATGATGTACAAAGTTGCAATGCCATACTTACGTTTGTCAGCCTATCAGAGAAATTATTTGAGGTAAAAAAAAAAGGCTGTATTAAGAGAATGAAGTCTTTTTAAAGCACACTAAGCTTCAAAAACATTGCCTTCTATCAAGGGACCTCCCATTCCCATGATTCAAACTCCCAGACACCTTCACTTTTATCTCTGTCTTCTGAGGTGAATATAAAGCAGTGCTTGGATTGTGTACTGCTCTTAACTGACTGTTAGATGATTTATAATGTTGTTTTCCTCATGTAAGAGTTTTGTGTTTGCTCACGGTCTGAACCCCAATAAGGTTTATCCAAAAGCTACTGCCAGTTTAATTTTTTTAAAATATAATTTTCAAATATCAGAAAAGAGACAGAAAATCTGTGCTTTCTTAGCATTGCAGGTTTAGGGCTTAGTAAAGCCTGCAGATTTTATGGTGCTTTGTGGGGTGTGAAAACCTTCAGGGATGAAGCATGAGCTGGCATTTTGGAAAGACCCAAGTAAACATTCAGACATGAAACCTTTTTTGATGTGTTTCTCTTTAAAATGAAAAAACACAGGGAAGATATAAGATTATATGTGTAGCAATAACGTTCAGATGTTACTGAATTTGATCGACATATTGTTTAAACCCAAAAAACAACAGAGTTTTTTTTTTTTAGGACTGTCATAATCTTGTTACACTATTGTGCTGCAGCATCCCCTTTTGAGACATCTGATGCTGCAACATTGGCTTTAATCTACAGTGGAGGCTTTGTACATCCAAAAAAAAACTTTGTATTAACTGTTATTTATTTGTTTTAATTACTGTGCAAATATCACTGCAATGACTCATAAAATTGATCATTCAATGTCATGCTGCATGTTGAACTTGCTCTCTGCACTGTTAAAAATGCAAGTACCTTAAAGATGGTCGGGTAGTTATCAATTATTGGGTTAAAAAAAAAAATAGCTAGTGCAAAGGCAACTAAATAGAGCCTGAAGTCAGGTTTGGTGTCTTAAACACCCATGCTCAAAACCTAACAATAACAATAGCAAATTTCAGCAGTTTTAGAAGCTATTTAATACAAAATGTGCTGCTTTTTTTTAGACTAACCTAAGACATATTTTTTATAAAGTGACTTACCTTTTTAAGATTGAGAATTATTATGACAGCCGTTTTCATTATGAGTTAAAATGCTGAAAACAAAAGTAACCTTCATTTGCACTCAATAATCTATATTACTATATTTACTGGAAATACAGAAAGTGATTTTCATTTGTCATTTGTTCTGAATTGCAAGTTTTACAATATAGACACTTTCTTACCTAGATGGTCTTATATATTTGCATTAATATGATTTAACAATTCAATTAAGAATACCCAATGACTCTGAAGATTTCATTGAAAAATAATACATTGAAAATGTATATATATAATGTTTCAGTCATACAGGATATGCATTTTTTGTGATGTTATGTGTTGAAATGATCTATTAATCAGTCAATTAAATTAATTTGACCAGTTAAATGCAGCCTCTCTGTCACTGTGTATATTTAAAAAAAATGATTTAGAAAGAAGGGATTTATAAAAAAATTATTATTCTAAGACATTCTGTGGTTTTATGGTAGTTCAGCCGTCCTGGAAAATCCTAGAAGTTGATCAAGAGTCTTATCAAAATAGGAAATCTGTAAAACCACCATGGATATCCATAAAAGCTGCAGCTAATTCAGCAACAACATTATCAGCAGATAAAAAAAAGGATTTTCACTATTAAAAACATAAGTTTGCACACAGAGGTAAGCAACAGGATTCACCTAAGTTTACTGTTAAAGATGACCTTTTTCTTAGACTTGGACTTGACAGGCTGTAGTTTCCCATGGAAGCATTAATTTAATTTCTTGACAGAATATTCACAGGCAGTGTGCTTCCAATGATAGTGCTGAATTACAATCACACCATCTTCATTTTGTGAGCCCCTCCTGGAGGCTCAACCCCATCTAAGACAACTGAACAAATCTGGCGATATAGTGGTAGACTCTTAGGGTTGTAGGTGTCAGACAAGAGTACTGTTGTTCTCCAAAGGACATCCTGGTTGCACCTTTGGCTTTAAAACAATAAAGGAACCTTGGTTTTTCTACTCCTGCTTAGGTACGACCCGCCCCCCTCGAGACGGAGAGGTCCCAGGGTTGGATTACAACTTCCTGTCTGTGGAGAACTTCCTACAACTGGAGGACAGTGGCACACTACTGGAAGTAGGAACATATGAAGGTGAGGAGGACAATACAAAGATCAAAAGAGGCACCTCACATAACTCGCGATAAAGCAGGTGTCCTGGTTCTTTATTTAGTTTTTCCTACATTTGGGCAGGCTGTAAGGCTGTGCACTCAGTTGATTCTGATTAGACTGTGCATGATGGGAGGGGGGATTCATCCAGGAGACAGCAGGTCTCTCCGCATCTGCCCCTCTCACTCTGATTAGGACAGCATTGTGCAGAGCAAAGTCTCATACTGACACAAACCTGTGTGTGTAAAACATGTGTATGAGTGATTGTTTGTTGGACTGTGTGTTATGCACTGCTAAGTCAGATTTTTGTGTGTGTCTGTTTGAGAGAGAGAGAGTAAAACAGAGTGAGCGAGATAGAGATTGTGTGCACATGGCTTGGAAAGAATGTTATGACATTAATCTGCTTGGCACTGGCCCTGCTGTGTGTTGGCACGTTACTCTCTTTCACACATACAATGTCAAATACCTGTTCACAGGAGTCCGTGGCACTCGGCACATCAGCAGGCACAACTAGTTTAACATATCCTTTAAAGTTGGTAGACAGGGAGGGTTATGTGCATAAATGTGTGTATGTCTAAGTAGCTATGTAAAAGTGTTGAAGCAATATATATATATATATATATATATATATATATATATATATATATATGTGTATATATATATATGTATATATGTGTATATATATATATGTATATATGTATATATGTATATATGTATATATATATATATATGTATATATATATATATATATGTATATATATATATATATATATATATGTATATATATATATATGTATATATATATGTATATATATATATATGTGTGTGTGTACTTTTTTTTTATTTGAGGTAAAACACTTTATGGCCGTATTAGTTATTTTTACTTGTCTTTAGACAGCAGGGGAACTCATTAGTCTTGGTATGCTTGGGGCCAACAATCTGTGGTAGTTCAATCCATGTAGGCAAATCAGATGGGACACTGCCATTTTGCATACAGTCCTATTTATACTTCATTTATCGAAAAAATATTCCAAAGCCGTTTAGAAAAATCCAAATAATTGGTATTTTTAGGTTTGCAATGAAATATTGTTGAGATACCTGTGAAAATGCCCCTCTCAAAAGTAGCACTGCAGTGCATGTTGTTTTTACCAGTAGATTTATTTTTCTGATATAGAGATTGATGTTGCTATGTAGAGAGTCAGTGTTCTTATTCAGTGAAGTAGTAGCACCAGGTAGTTGAGAGAACTGCCCAGGATGGATGGATGGATGGATACATACATACCTACACACACACATATATATATATATATATATATATATATATATATATATATATATATATATATATATATATATATATATATATATATATATATATATATATATATATAAATACAGCAGGTTAAATTCATATATTTCTAGAGGTGCTACTGACGACATTTTCACCAGATGTCTGTAACAATCCACGCAATCAATACATACAAATAAATCAAAGCATAGATGTCCAGAAATGTATTTATGTCTAATAAAATGACACAGGTAAAAAGTATTGCTCATATATTAACATGCTCATATATTATGTTTTCTGCAAGAAAATATGATTTAAAGGTGAATCTCCCTGGCCTGCTTAACCAAGGCCAGCCATTAACAGCTTAAATGACTAAGGTGGCTGGAACTTGTAGACTATCTTGCTCTTTGAAATATGTAAGTAGGCAACGTTTCCTGTTTGAGGTTTGCATGGTGACGTGTGCATGCATGCAGGCCAAACTCTGTCAGCATGTACATGGGTGCCCCACTGAGGGAGGGCAAGGCACAGCATTCTTTTAATGACTCCTCCAAATGAGCACTTAAAACAAGATGCAGTCTGAATATTTATAAAATGTCTAAGATAACTTTATTCATCCTAGTAACATAGTGTAGAACTAGTTTACCTGTTGTTCCAGCTGGAAAAAGCCAAATATTGTAAATTATACATGATACTTGCAGAGTTTACATAATATATCCTTAAACACAAGCACGAAGGTTCTGGGTTCCTCACCATTTGGTTATTTCCAGGATTTGCAATCCAGCTTCGTGTCTTTTATTCCCAACATAAGATTATGTGCAGATCCCCTGGCTGCTTTTTCTTTGTCCCCCTGCACTGCCTTTTTATCCCAGACTCCTTCTCTTCATCCCTTTCCCTCTGTCTCTCAAGCATGCTAATGTCCTCTTTGTTGCCTAGGTAACTATTATGGGACCCCAAAGCCTCCAAGGCAGCCCATCATTGGGACAGTGACTCTCAGTGATGCTGGCTCCCTTCCGTCCACACCAAAGCGCACCAAGTCCTACAATGACATGCAAAAAGTCCGCGTAGTGCCTGCTGACAACGACGATGACGACCAGGCCACGGAAATGAACAACAGTTTTACAGGTAAAGATATTGTTGCGCCCCCTCCTGTCTCTTTGTGTTTGTCCAACTGCATGATTCTTCAGCTCTCTAAATCTCTGCATGTGTATTATTCATCTAATCTGAGTTTTTTGAACAACTCTGGCCTTTCTTGAAGCATCCTTCAAATACATGCATGAGTGCATGATTAGGAGGAGAGAGTTAGCATTTATATGTTTATTATCTCCTCTGTTGTAAAATTATGTGTCTTGCTGTTGCATCATGTTTTGCTAATGTGGCTTGATTTTTTTTCTTTACACTGCCATCTGCTTGTGAGGAGGGTTGTTTTTAAAATGTATGCATTGTCCACACTACAGACCTGAAATATTTATTTCCCAGCCTTTTATCCACCTAGATTCTAGTCAAGTCAAGTCAGCTTTTATTGTCATTTTCTACATATGTACAAGATATACAAGGGAAATGAAATTACGTTTACTCTCTGCAATATACAAATATACAAGACTTACATTTAAGAACTGACATAAAGTGCGGGACATGACAGGTAAGAGTGGTAAGATAAATATAAGTATGAAGTATAAACATTACAATAAAAAGCAATAAAAACAGCAGCAATAGTTTGTTCCAGGCTGAGGTAGTGCAGGTAAGGTGCAGTCTCTGGTACAGTGTATGTGTGTGTGGGTGTGTGTGAGAGAGAGAGGGGCAGTCTTAGCTTCCTGTCTGCCTGGTGGCTGGAGCAGACCGTGTGGGGAGGGGGTGGAGGGAGTTGAGCATTCTCATGGCCTGGTGGATGAAGGTGTTCGCCAGCCGGGTGGTTCTGGACCGTAGGCTTCTGTACCTCTTTCCGGAGGGCAGGAGACGGATCAGGTTGTGTGCTGGGTGGGTGTCATCCTTCAAAATTGTGAGGGTTTTGCGGGTGAGGCGGCTGGAGTAGATGTCTTGCAGGGAGGGGAGAGGTGCCTTGATGATCCTCCCAGCTGTGTTCACTATACGTTGCAGGGCTTTCCTGTTGTAGTCAGTGCAGCTCCCGCCCCATACAGTGATACAGCTGGTGATGATGCTTTCAATGGCTCCTCTGTAGAAGGAGGTCATGATGGCTGGTGGGGCACTGGCCTGATTCAGCTTCCGCAGGAAGTAGAGGCGTTGTTGGGCTTTCTTGACCAGTGATGCAGTGTTGGTGGTCCAGGAGAGGTCGTTGCTGATGTGCACTCCTAGGAATTTAGTGCTGCTCACCCTCTCCACAGCAGCGCCATCGATGGTCAGTGGCAGGAGTCGGCGGGGACCTTTCTGGAAGTTGACAGCAATCTCCTTTGTCTTGCTGACATTCAGTAGGAGGTTGTTGTCACTGCACCACTTGGCTAGGTGGTCCACCTCTGTCCTGTAGTGTGTCTCGTCACCGTTGGAGATGAGTCCCACCAGGGTTGTGTCGTCTGCAAACTTCACCAGGTGGTTAGTGCTATGGGTTGTTTTGCAGTCGTGTGTGAGTAGGGTGAAGAGCAGAGGGCTTAGCACGCACCCTTGTGGAGCTCCTGTGCTCAGCGTGATAGTGTCCGAGGTGTTGTTACCGACGCGCACAACTTGCGGTCTCTGGCACAGGAAGTCCAGCAGCCAGTTACAGAGGGAGGTGCTGAGGCCCAGTTTGTCCAGTTTGCATATCAGCTGTTGGGGTATAATTGTATTGAATGCTGAGCTGAAGTCGATGAACAGCATTCTCACATAAGAGTCTTTTTTCTCCTGGTGAGTGATGGCTGGGTGCAAAGCTGAGTTGATGGCGTCCTCTGTGGAGCGCTGGGGTCTGTATGCGAATTGAAAGGGGTCCAGGGTGGGGGGGAGGATGGATTTGATATGTGTCATGACCAGCCGTTCGAAGCACTTCATGATGATGGGTGTCAGTGCTACGGGACGGTAGTCGATGAAGCAGGATGGAGATGGCTTCTTTGGCACCGGTATAATGGATATAAGATACGTCTTCTATATATGTTGTATTCCTGTATCTCGCAATTTAAGAGTTTTGTATGTTTTATTTTTCACAGTCAAACATAACAATAATTTCAAATTATAAGTGTAAATACAATACTTTGAAACAGCATTCAGCTTTTTTTGGATTTGCATTAAAATATTTCACCAGTATTTTATTTTTTTGTGAAATATGAACAGAAATTTTAATTCAGTCTCAGTTCTGAGTATTTATATGGTCCCAATTTATAACACATACCATATAAAGGCATTTCCAGAGTCAGTTTAATCAAATCATGTAGACAGATTATTTGAAAAGGTTTCTATCTGAGGAAACAAAACAGATTGCACCAAGCCATTATCTTCAAGAGTTTACTTTTCTTGTATCAGGCATGAAGGGACCCTGTACATTTGCTTCAATGTGCCTTCAACTTGCAATCCCTCATACTGAACATGCATTAAGCAACAGTGGGGGTATGAGTGTAGCATTTTTAGTGGCTTTCTCTAAGAGAAAAACCCAGATAAACAAGTAAACTCTAAACAAGTATTCAAGCCCGTATACATGTAATCTGTAAGATGCATGAAAATGTATGAATCCTCATATGTTTTGGGGTTTATAATGAAGAACTTTAGCCGTTAACTACATTTGCCTTACCTTTGTTTTTCGTGGTTATTTTTCGTAACACTCTAGTATCAGTTTTGACTAGAATTCCATTCAATTCAAGATGTCATCTCAAGGCACTTTACACAGACAACTCAACCAGATCATACAGTTAAATTGATTCAAAGTTTTCTATCTAAGGAAAATCAGTTGATTGCATCAAAGGCAATCCCTCACACTAAGCATGCTTGTATTATGTAGCCCACGTTATTTTTAGGACACCACCTAGACAACCAGCGGTTGAATGACGACATGAGGCTAAACATGTCAACACTGGTCAGATCAGGCAGGGAACCAGAGAAAATTACGGAGTCCAACATTGTTTTGGCAAACTAACACCATGAAGCAACACTAATTTTAGTGACCTCTGATCAGCCTAACCGGGTGTCATTACCGCCAGCATGAATAACAATCTTACCGTATTTTACCTTATCCTTAGCCAGCAGTTTCAGGTAGGATTTGATGTTGCCCGTTCTGCCCCCAGTGTAGGTACCAGATCTGCTTGGGTGGTCAGATCTGTTCGGGGCCCTGCCCCTTCTTATGACGTCAACATATGGCAACTCCACTTGAACAAACTGTATTACACCCGTTTCTTAAGGATCGAATCTCTTTTGGAGTCTCAAGATGTTATTACCTATATTTGCTATTATTTTACATTTCATTGGCGATCTAAAGTAGCCGAAAGTAGAAAACACTCATTGTCAGTCTTGAAGGAAAGTACTGCTTCTTAAGACTGAGTTATGCCATTTACCAAGGTGACAAAAAAAGTCTCAGCTTATTTTTATTGTTTTTATTAAGATCTGAGGGCACGGGAGGATGAACGGTTGTTGTTGACACAAATTTAAAAGAGGCTAACCTTTTAGCTACTGAGCACAGCTAGCCACAGCGCTACCCATCTCTCCATCTTTATACCATGATTTTGCAGTTACTTTGTTCACCATTAACAGATTTTTTTTCAGTTTTGTTATCGATCAGCTAAAACTTCATCGGTTATTAGACACGCTAACACTACAGATGCTCCCGACTCGGCACATAAGGTAAACATGCCCACTGTTATATTAAATCAAATTTAAAATTATTCTATCTTAAAAACCTAATCAGCAGGAGCAACATAATTTGTATTTAATTCAAGCCTTAATGGGGGAATATTTGACCTTTTGATGATCTAAAAAAAAAAACATATTCAATATCTCTGTCTATTTGCTGAGTTTTTGTCACTTAGAGTGTCAGCTTCACATGCTGATGCTCCTCTTATTTGATGAAACGGCCCTGGGTGTAAACCTGAGCATCTGTAATGTAGAGCGGTGAACTTGTGGAAATTACCACAGACACGGGGCTCGTTCTGAGTGCACCTTTTAGTAGCCAAAGGCGCCTTCTGTTCTTTAGGAGCTAAGCCAAGAAAACTTCCCACCACAACTACCGAGGTAGCCCAAGATGACCTGAACTAACTTATCTATGAAATTTATCAAACAGAACATCTTTAAGCCCATTCTCAACAGAAGACGGCGTGTCTGCATTGTCTTAAACTGGAAGTTGCTTCTAGAAGAAATAAGCCTGATAAGTAAAAGATCTGCTTCATAGTCTACTGTTAGAAATTCTAAGAACAACAAATGAACCTGAAGTCCAGGAGCAAGGTGCTGTGTTAGGAACATAACTGATCTCTGATGATTGCAGGAGCTTAATTATAAAAGGTTTTTTATGCTTGAAAGATAGCTTTAGATTATATTCTCGATTCAATAGGAAACCAATGAGCAGAAGCTAATATAGACAAAAACTGATCTCTATTTATCCAAACTTCTGTTTCAGCATATTGGATCAGCTGAAGTCTTTCCAGCTACATTTTGTGAACTTCCTGATGCTTGAGAATTACAATAGTCCTGCCTTGAAATGACAAATCCCATCGATTGGTATCCTAGAGAAACTATTTCTAATTTTGCCAATGTTTTAAAGGTGAAAGAGGGAAATCCAAGAAATCTGTTTATTGTGCAATTTTTGTATTAAGCCCCCTTTACTCTTATATGTTTAAATTAAATCATGGTTATACAAAATTTCAAGCACTGTTCAAACCAGTAGTCAAAACTGGATGAAATATGTAGTAACTGTAAACCTAACAGGAGCCATCAAGCTAAAAATGAATCGGAGTGCCGGTAACCCCACCCAAGGTAGCTCTAGAGGAGCTGCAGACAGGCATAGAAAATTTAAAGAGATGGTTAAAAAAAAAATATCATATGTTTCTTTTAAATAAAGTAAGAATTACAAATTTACAGTTTGCCTTAAGCCATGTAAGAGTTACCAATAACCTGTGAAATAATATACTCTGATCAGGAGTGACCAAAATGTAACCTTTAGGCCTACATGCATTACAAAATGTGGAGTCGAAGCTAAATGTACATCAGCCTAACAGACCCATCCCCACAGTGAGCCATGATGGTGGTAACATCAGGCTGGGAGGTCCTTTTCTTCAGTAGAAACAGGGATGATGATTGGGGTTATGGTGGAATTAATGGACATAAGTACAAGGAAATACTTATAAACAAAACCTACTTTAAGGCTATAGGAAACCAGTAACTGTGTCTAGGTTCACATTCCAACAGGACAACAATTGTACAGCCAGATATGAAGCTATGAAGTATAGATCAGGAGTTTTTAAAGCGTAGAAGCCTGCCTCAATTTACCACAACTCTGTATTTTCTTTTGCACATATCTGCAGGTATCTACTTTTCAGCATAACCTTGCTGTCATGCATGCCCATGTTTCCCCTTCCTGTTTTGATACTTTTAACACAGAGAGAATGCATTGACACTCTATGAGGATGAGTAGGCCTACCAGTAGTAGAGGAACTCTGTCTTCACGGACAGCTTGTTGGCTATATGCAAAATGATATATTGCAGTTTGTTTTCCTCTTAATATCGCAATTAGGAGGGAAATGAAAAGCCCATTTATTATGGCTGTAGTTGTTAAAAAATATTTTTTATTTTCACGCTGTTATGCTTTACAATGTTTCATATTATACTGAATAAAATCAGTGCATCATACTTTCAAATTTGAGGCTGTAATTAGACAAATGGGAAAAAAATCCAAGAGATAGAAAGACTATTAAATAGCACTGTTTTTTCCCTTGCTTGCCCTCAACTTGTTTTGAGTGAGAGGGATGTCTGCTCGCATTTTCTTTCTTGTTTGATGCTTTGAATCTTTTCACTCACTTTGTCCCCCTCCCAGGCAGCATGTGGGTTGAATTTGCATTTGATCAGTCAGTGAAAGGCCTGGGGAAGTGTTGCAGTGTATGTAGTAGAAAGGGGGAGGCAAATGGGAATGGGGGGTGTTCTAGCCTAAACAGAAAAACACTTACTGCCAGAGAGGAGGGGGTCAAATTGAGTTAGGGACTGTTGCTGAAGGAAATGGCATATCCTGTTACCCCTCTTCTTAAACTAGCAGTAAGATAGAGGTAACCTGGGGGAAGGGAACATACTGGGAGTATGGTGTGACTGCGTAATTAGTGAGCATGTATGTTTCTTCATCTTACATGCATGAGACAAATTGTGATTTTTGTTTCCCTGTTTCTCTTATTCCTTGTTGTGCCTATTTTGTCACCCAGGATCCTTAGTGCGTAGTCTCTTCCCCTCTCCTTTGCTGTGCACAGGTAACCCTAACGACCAGGACGAGAGCCGCAGCGGCATCCTCCGGCCGTATCCCGTGCGTGATAATGCTCTACCCTGTGGTCTGAACAATGCAGCCATTTCCACTGCAGAGAGCGGGCAGCAGACTCTTGCAGAGCCCCAGGTCTCACCAGAGGACCCACTGGGACCGCTGCCTGAAAACTGGGAGATGGCCTACACAGAGAACGGGGAACTGTACTTCATAGAGTATGTATCCACAGCCTGCATGGCTTAAACATTGTTTCTAATAAATGCAACCTTGGCAGTGCCTGAGTAAGTCTTTCTCTCTTTAGCCTGTGTTCTGTGGGTTTGTGTATTCTTTGATTTATTTCCACTGTTGCTTCTTTTGTTGGCGTATTGGCTTGTCTTTCACAATGATTTGGTTTGTTGGCCTGCCCAGCCCCCTGGGTGAAACCGCTTTCCTGTTAATCCCTGCATGTCCTGAGTTTAAAAGGAGATCACATCCTGATTACCTGACTACCTCCACCTCTCTGTCCTCTGCAGCACGACAAAGACTCTCCACCAGGACATGGCTGTGTGTTTTCAGAGCTTGTATGTTGATTTCTGCTATCACTGAATTACAATTTGTTTTCATCTAGCAGTAGAGCCCAAAGTCAGGTTGTTTATGATTATGTTGCTTTTTTCCCCCGTGTTCCTCTGTGTTTGCAGCGGATGGCGTCTGTCCCCTGCAAACTTGCTGACACATTTTCTTATTTGCCTAGTTCTTATTGATGCGTTCAGGTGCCCCTGCTGTGCTTTGATATTTCAGATTGCTGAATTATTGTGTTGTTTATTATCTCTCAGCCACAACACAAAGACCACTTCATGGCTGGATCCCCGGTGTAGAGACAAAGTCCCCAGGCCTCTGGAAGAGTGTGATGATGATGGTAAGCCCACAAACTTCCTTTAGAGCATTGTAGTTCTGTTTAGTGGATTAGAAACAGTATGAGCTCTAAAGACATTGGTCTCCTTCAGTATTTAGTGATACTTTTGTTGATTTCTAATACTGTTTTCAGAGCTTTGACTCTTGCAACATTCTCTGTGTTGATAATGTGTCACAGATTAAGGCTACTTTCTATGAAATTGACATCTTCCTTTGTGATGATAAGAGGTGCTTTATGAAGACCAAACACATTATATATTTCTTTTAATATTAGGAAATTGCACCATCAAGTGGTGAAAAAAAAGCAAGTACTACTGTTAGGTGGCCAAAAGGCTGCTGTGATATTCTAGGTTAACCCATTTCTAAGGATTTTCTGTTCTCCTTTTTGCCTTTCTCTGGATTGTCACTTCATTTCTCATTTGTTTTTGGTTCATCCATTCCTAACCAACTTTTTTTCCTGTCATCCATACATTTTTCTATTCTTCCTTTTGCCCTCATTTTTTTTTTAATCCTGCTTTCAAAATTGGAGAAGAAGGGATACATGCGGAAGACCTGAAAAGTGATCTAGGTAGGGTTTTACGATTTTGTGTTTGAAACTGTAACATGTTGAACTCTGTTCAACATGTTACAGTTGAACAGAGTTCTGTATTTTAGCTTACAGAACTTTTTTTTTTTCTTCATTAAGATAGATAAAATGAAAAGAAGAGAGGAATCCTCAACAGCTTTAGTTTTTTGCTTTCTTCGTTGATCTCTGGTATTTTCTTTAGATGTTTTTTGATTTCGAGCGATGCTGTGAGAAATATCAAAGATTGTATTAACAATAGTTTATGGTTAAGGTCTTCTTTTCTTGGCAACTACAGTAGAAAGCCTTTATATATTCCCTTAAATGGTGCCATGATTACAGGAAGTTTTTATTTGAATTTTGAGCTGCAATACTTATTATGTTATGTTAATGAAAAAATAAAAATTCTCTGCTTATTTTGCACTTGGCTATTGATATTAAGACATTGATAGTTGTAGAAAGACACGTTGACAAATAAAATATATCCATATAATTATTTAACAAACATCAGCCTTAGAAAATTAACTACGGTACATAAGAAGAACAGCACCCTCTCTATTGATCACCTGTTTGGTTGGATGGCATTTCCATGTCTAAACCAGCATTTGACAAAAAGTCAACCTATAAGGTTGTGTTGTTTACTTTGGAAAAAACAGCATTCTCAATATTATCCTATTAGTATTCAGTAGTAAAGACTGAAGACAGAGCATCCCTTCCTCTTCACTCTCAGATTCTGGATGTGATCCCTGATAAAGCAGGTTAATAACAGTTAAGACGTATTGTTTTGGATGTTGGAGATTCAGAAATGATTTGTCTTTTTTTTTAAGTGCAAAACTAAAAATTGCGAATCTATTCACAGATTGTTTTTTTTTCTTACAATTTCAGCACCAATTGAGGGAATTATGCAGGCTTTAAATCGTAAAAGTTAAAATACAAAGCCAACCAAACTCAGATTTCTTTAACTTTGATGAAATATTAAAGAATTTCTTTCACTCACTTATGAAAGTACAGTAGGTATCTGAGTATGCTGTAAGCAGTGATATAGATCAACACCAGATCATGACAGTGTTTTCTAATGGTTAAGTCGCCTATAAAAAGGGAATGAGATGACCTCTCAGTATTTTGCACATTCATGGTTCACTTACACACACCAATCATTGGAGCGATGTTTCATTACTATGATGGTTTTGGTGGCTTATTTCAACAAGCCACTCTTTTGGTACAGTTGTAAAACAACACAAAACAGCTGTAATAAAAAGGTTCACAGCATAAGTGGTATTTTATGTTTGTTTTATTCTAATTACAGTTAATCTGTATTTCCATCTCAACGATATTTAATGTGTATCCCTTAAAAGATTGGATATCTATTATGTTTTTTCTAAGCTACTATAAGCAACTGGCATGATAACAGCAGGATGATTAACATGGCTTTTAAAGTGGTACCAATATCAACATCAGAAATGAAGTATGCTTATACTGAACCAAAAGTAAATCTAACATATGCAAAGTATAAATCTGTATCTAGTGGCAAAAGTACTAAAGCTGGTAATAGAAAGCTATTTATGAATAGTTAAAGTAACAACATTTTTAAAAAAAAAATTCTAGAAGCAGATCTAATTATTATTCTCAGGACAATAAAAATTTAAATAAATAAATAAATAAAAGTTTTTAAAATAAATAGTCATTAATCAATTTAAGAGTTGTTTGTGGGTGAATAATACCAATGCAGTTTCAAACTCATCTTTGAATTAATGATGACGATGTAATATTGGGCTTACACGTCCCTCTGAGCGGAGTCAGTGTGGACCGAATTTCCACACCGCACACCTCCATCTTCTGATTTAAAATTTAAACAGAGGAGGGTCGACATGTATTTCCTCAACAAAGCACTGTAACAGGCAAATTTCAGTTCTGTAGTTCGAATGGCCCATCTTCATTTTTTTTAAGTAGAAAGTGCTTTAGGTAGCCATGAGCTTTCTTCAAGCACATCGTTAATTTGCGAATGCAAAACAAAAGCCTGTGCCCAGCCACACAAAGGTTGTATATAAAATAACATGCAAATCCAGGTGTTGCACTACATTCTGCAACCCATCGTGACTCAAGGCGGTGCTGTTACAGATTCTCTTTAGTTGACTGCAGTGAGTCACAAAATAGCATCCCATCAGAATGTGGTGCAATGTGACTTACTTAGGTTAAACAGACTAAGTTTTTTCTCAGTCTTTTCGAGCACTAAGTGGTTTCTTCATATCTTGAACTCGCACATTTTGTAGTAAAACAAAAATCTATTTTCATATGTTTTTCTCAATTTGTGTTTCATCGAATTTTTCCTTCGTAACTCATGATGTGTCACATTTCTGAAATCTCTATTTAAAAAAAACAGACAAGACTGAATGCAGTATAGATAGAATAAACTGGGAAGCAACAGATTTAAATGCAATGAATTAACCTAGATTCAGGTTTACACCTGTTTAGAAAAGTGTGGTATCTTCTGTTTCTTCTCTATTTAAACCTAAATGAAATGTAGGTTTAAATGTAAATAGTAATTATTGATAAACATAAAAGCACAGTGGTTGTTATTCAAATAGATTGTTCTTTAACTGAAGTTATAAAGGTAGATTTGCAAGGTTTGCTCTTGCTGTAATCTTAAAAAGAGAAAAAAAAACTGTTGTAAAACAGTTTTAGAGTAGGTGGTGTTTTAAGGGCATATTTTGGACCGGTCTAACCTTGCCATAAAAAATGTTCTAACCATGCTTGAAGCAGACTAAAAAAATCTAGGAAAAAAGAAAAAGTGTTTCTCTTGTTTGTGCTAAATAACTTACAGGAGAGTTTGTGTTAAGTGCTTATGCTCTCTGTATTCCAGAACTGCCTCCAGGATGGGAGAGAATAGATGACCCAGTGTACGGAGTGTATTATGTGGAGTAAGTTAATCACCTCATTAACACAGTGCACAAAGACAAACAGAGTATGTTAACTTTTATACCCCTGTTCCCAATCGGTTATTAGTTTTTCATTCAAACCCATTTACTGAACTTTTTTATTTATCTATTTTACCTATCAGGCACAATAATGTCTGGGGTTTCCTTGACTTCTCTGTTTATCCTATTTTTGTTTTTTAAAGCCATATAAACAGGAAGACCCAGTATGAGAACCCAGTTTTGGAGGCGCGGCATCAAAAAATCTTGGAGCAGCAGCAACCGCCGCAGCCTCCAGAAGGTGAGCGGTATATCCGAGGTTCGTTTCCTGCCCATTTCTTTCTTTCTTCATGTCTGTCTCTGTGTCACGTCTTTCCTGTTTGTCTGGTGTTTTCCAGGGGTTCGGCCAGAATTTATTTTCCCTGAGGGTGTTTATTTTTAGATATGTTTACATATGGACTTAAAATGCAGAGATAAAACATTAATAATTAAAGTTTTCAAAATTTTGATCTGCAATCATAGTTTTACCATCATTAAACTGGCCCAAGTCCTGGTGTCGTCTTATAGTAAAAGTTTTAATTTATGTGATTTTTAGTCATGAATACCATTTCGTGTTTGATCATTGTAGTTTCACGTCATTAAAAAAAAGGGGGGGGGGGGGGGTATTTTGAATGTGTTGCAAAAAAATAAACTATTGAAATGTTTATTTTTGTTTATTATGATGATAATGGCTGACAAAAAAATTAAAAAACATTTTTTTTCTCAGAAGTGGGGAAATGAAATTACTGAAAAACATCAAAAAGTAGATGTTTCCTTCAAAAGAAAATACAGTATTGGGCAGAAACAGTTGCTCAGTGCTCTTTTTGCATAAATTAGTGCATGAGTGAAGAGGGGCATGGAGGAGACCTGCTTGTGGCTTTGCCAAGATTTTGGGGAATCCCAGGCTGCTATAATAGTGACCCTATATGCATTGCTGGATCTGGTGTCTCTCATCCTTTTCTGGATGCTATAAATCAGAGGTGCTCAAGTCCAGTACTCAAGAGCTCCCATCCTGTAACGTTTAAATGCATCTCTTTTCTAACACGCCTGAACCTAAGGGCTTAATCCCCTCATTTAGCTCAGTAAAGGCATGGTAAAGAGCCACTCATTTGATTTAGATGTTAAAAATGAGGTATCAAAAAGGTGTCGATAGTTGCTCTTGAGGAATGGACTTGAGCACCGCTGCAGGAGATTGGGGTTTAAGTTAGGCCAGCCTGTTGGCAAAAAAGAAGGCAAGTAAAGGAAAGTGTTAAGTCTTTAATATTTCCTGACTTTGAACTTGTTTAAACACATTAAACTAACAGCAATTGATGGTATGGCTTCCCAATCATCTCTGACTGTTTAAACTTTCAATCTTACTCCAAACTCTGGGACCTTGATTTCGAGATTGAATTGAACAATGCAGTATATAACTTTACCTTTCTTAGTTGAGATGCTTTTGACGTTGACTTCATTTATCAGCTACAAGAGTATGTCAATGGTAGCTCTTCTCTTGCCTGTGTGAGATGATTTCTCATTCACTAATTCCAGCCATAAACCAATTCTTATGAATCTACCCCAAACTCTTTAGTTGTCTTTCCTTTACAATCTACTTATCTTCTACAATCTACCTTTTCCTTCTTATACTAAGCTTGGCAGCAGCACTCCTTGAAGCATTTTGGAGAGTTCTGAATTATTGACTTGAAAGTTAACTGTTTCATCATACTGTAATTTAATGAGTTCGGTGTAGGCTCTGTTTATTGTGTATAGGTTATGTATGATTCTATGTGTGACATGTAAATAAATTCAGTACATGTTTGGTGGGTATGCGGTTGGGATTAAAGGGGTAATAATCATGTGTGTGCAGAGTGGATAGAGGAGCATTCGTCTGCTGCAGCTCCATTGGCAAACTATGTTCCAAACCACCTTGAGACATACAGGGACCCACAGGTCCCACCAGCTCTACCTCCTGGCCCAGTCGGGGTTAAAAGTAAGTCCATGAGTTGGTAGTTTTGGAGGCTATTTGATTTTACAAACATACAGTGTGGCTCAGTTCATTTTTTTTAATTTAATAATTCTTTGAAGAAACAGTTTCATCCTTGTTTTTATTTGTTTTAAGTTATTTTTTGTGGTAATGTCAAGCAAAAGCACAGCGAGCAGTATTTATTGTGTAAAGATGTAATTAGCTATGCAGGCAGCTCAGACATCAGAAACAGACAGGCATTGACATTTTATGTATTATATTTGTATATACTGACTACAATGCATTTTAGTCACTATATTTTTGTGTGTTTTATATCGTTTTTTTTTTCTATTTTCAAAATAAGTTGTAATTAATTCAGTTTTAAATAATGTGTTCATAATTTTTTTATTGTAAATGGTTTTTAATCCATATATATGTTTATGTCTTACTTGTGATCTTAGTTTTAAGGGTTTTATCAGGGTTTCGTCTTCACCTTTCCTGTATGTCTACCTTCAGCTCTTCCTCAGTCCTGCAAACGAGCAACCCCTATGCTACACATGTCCGTGCTTTCCTCCCTATACTTTCCCTGCTATGTTTATCCTTGGTCAAATCTCTTTTCCTCTCTGTCATTTTTTTCCTTGTCTTAGAATTTTGTAAAGGGTTTTTAGCTGAAAATCTATAAAGAATTAATAAGTTGGCCATATCTATGAATGTGGTGTCTTGAAACAGTGTTTAGGGGCAGTTTTTTTGTGCACTCTCTACAGGGGGGAAGCCTTTCTTCACCAGAAACCCTGCAGAACTGAAAGGAACCTTTATCAACACCAAGCTAAAGAAAAGTCGCCGTGGATTTGGCTTCACAGTCGTTGGTGGCGATGAGCCTGATGAATTCCTGCAGATCAAAAGTCTGGTGCTGGACGGGCCTGCAGCTGTCGATGGCAAAATGGAGACAGGTGTAGTACATAGTCTTAATCTACAGGGGGCACTATTTGCATTCAGAAACAAGTTGAGGCATCATTGAATGATATACTTTCAAATGTCACTATTTTATGATATCAAAATAATAGTAGATCTGACAAAAAGAGGTTGCATGAGGTTTTATAGTGTGAGAAGAGCATTGCTAAAAACCATCTGAATTTTTGCAGGGGATGTGATTGTCAGTGTAAATGACACCATCGTTCTGGGCTACACACATGCACAAGTGGTGAAGATTTTCCAGTCCATCCCTATCGGCTCAATGGTGGACCTGGCCTTATGTCGAGGATATCAGCTGCCATTTGACCCAGATGACCCAAACACCAGCCTAGTGACCTCTGTGGCGATCTTGGACAAGGAGCCTATCATTGTCAATGGACAAGAGACTTTTGATGTACCCGCCAACCAGGCTGGACCCATCAATGGCATGCGGGAGGCACGGTCGCACAGCCCCTCAGCGGAGGTGGCATCAAACGGTTCACATGGGTACTCCGCTGACGTGGTCACCCTGGCCTCAGCCATCGCCACCCAGCCAGAGCTGATCACCATACACATGGAGAAGGGAGACAAAGGGTTTGGCTTCACAATTGCTGACAGCCTGACAGGAGGCGGGCAGAGGGTCAAGCAGATAGTGGACTACCCACGGTGCCGTGGCCTGAAAGAGGGGGACATTCTGATGGAGGTTAACAAGAGAAACGTCCAGAATATGAGCCACAACCAGGTGGTTGATCTGCTCAGCAAATGTCCGAGAGGCAGCGAAGTCACCATGTTGGTGCAAAGAGGTACGTGTAATATCTCATGTTCTGGGATGATGTATGTCTGCAGGAACTGAAGCTTTGACATCAAAGTTAGAGAGATTGAAGTGGCCTTATTCTACTGAATAAACAGCAGTCTAAATTAGTTGACATGTAGAAAATAACACAGTGGAAGAGAATAGGAGGCAGGATGAAAATGCTTGGACTGGATGGAATGGAATTAGGAAAGGTAGAAAAATGGCAGCAGGAAAAAAAGCTGGGGTACAGAGGAGTTTGAGTAAGATAGAACAAGATGGTTAGGAGTCAAGATAGATTAATCAAGGGTATAACGGAGTCACACATTAGATCAGCTTCTAATTGATCGCTGGTAAATGTTTGTCATCTATGGCTGTTTGATATGTTAGATGTTTTTCATGTATTCATTGACCTTATCTCGCTTTTAGAATGAGCTAAAGTTGATCAGACTCTGTCTAATTTGTAGCTGGATTCATAATTGATGTGTTTTTCTAGATTAACAGTTCAGGTCATATTTAGTGATATCATCAAATGTAATGTGATGATTGGTGATTCAGGGGCGCCGTATGGGTGGAAAAATTAGGAAGATTCCAAGTGCCCCTTACTGAGGGAGGTTAAAAGATATATCCCACTATATATTTCTAATATGATACATATTTTGTGTATTGGCACTGTATAAATAAACTGAATTGTATTGAATTGAATCAATTTCCCACCAAAGTCAGTGACCATCTCATTGGTCCTCAGAGAGTTCAGGATAAGACAATTTTTCCAGCTTGTAAATAAGGAGATGACTCTTTATTTCCTCTCACCAACCCAACTGAAATTATTATCATCAAGTCTTAGTGGCAATATTTTACAATCTATCTTTTGAATTTCAATTGAAATGCAAAGAAGAATGATACAAAATCTGAAGGCTCTAGATTTGAAAAGTTGGTAGAGACGTAGCGCAAATCTTTCAGTTTCAACTATAGAAAAAGGGTTGCTCTACAGAAAGATTAACGCAGACATGAATACAGATTGCAAGTTCCAATTTTTAGACTTTAAAAAAAATAAAAGATAAACATTTCCTTCCTCTTAACAATTATACACTCATTTTTTCATGCATCACACACAATCCAAAGAAATAAGTTAAAGTTTATGCTGATAAAATGTCAATAACATGAATAGCTATGATTGGTTTTGCCAGGCACTTAAAAGGATGCAGCGTTCTTTAGGGGAAGGAGCTTAATATTTCAGGCTTGCAATTAAAGGCTTCCTACACTAAGGTCTTCCTGCCTGATAAGTCATTGCACACGTTTTTATCTCAAAGATGTCAAAGGGAAAATTATCCATCAAGGGCTCGAAAGGTATCGAAACAGACAACAGCATTGAATTTCCTCACTTGTATCACTTTTATGTTAATTTTGTTAACCACGTGATTGGTGTATTGATAGCAGCTGGGGATATGTGCCCCTTATCAAATATGTCATCTAATGAGTTGACCTTGTGCACTGCTGCTGAAATAACTGCTATATTGTATTAAATGTCAGGATCATTATGGACCTCTGTGTGTGGGTGTATGTGAAGGAAGGAGAAGAAGAATAGTACAGAAGTAAGCTCTGTAGGTAAAGCACAAAGCGAGGGAATAAATTAGAGGATAAATGGGTAGGAGGCTGCAGAAGTCACAGCAGCTGGCAGGGTGACTGACAGGTTCATAGATCATATCTAGTAGCCTCTGCACTGCCCTGTAATAACTGTGGGATCAGGTAGAGTACATGTGATGTGGGACACATGATACACACCCCGAGATAATCCTGGGGGGTTAGTAATTTGATGAATTAAGCTGCTATCTCAAGTTTTTTTGTATGCTTATAATCTCCAATTAAAGAAATAAGCAACCAACTTGGAAGGGCATGTCATGCCAATATTCATTGACTGCTTACTTTTTTTGTTTGTTCAAAAGTTGTAGCTCAAACTGCACAATAGGTTTTTACAAAATGATTCCAATTATTCTGAGCCATAAAAACCAAAATAGTTTTTGAAAACAGTCTGTCGACAGTCAGTAAGATGATTTAAATACCTGCAAAAAAAATAAATATATATATATAAAAAAATATATATATAGTAATTTATAAATGATCAATCAGTCAATTAATAATTCCTGTTTCTTTTATTAGTGCACCCATGCTTTTATTTTCAATAGTGTACAAATATACTCAACTTTAACTTACTTGTGTTGTTAATCCAAAGGGCTCACCGTTTGTTTCCATAACTCTTCTGGAAGGCCATTTTGCAAGGTTTAGAAGTAAGCCCATGGAAATGGTTGACCTCTTCTCCAGGAGTGGAATTTCAAGGTCAGACACTGGGCTTCAAGAAGCGGCTTGCAGTCTGAGCTGTATTTTTTTCTTCAAAACTAAGGACACAACCTGATCAAACTATATTTTATGAACAATGCTTTGTGCATAGGTGCAGTAATGTTAGAACAACAATTTTAATCTTAATCTCCAAAGTGTCCGCTCTAAGATTGTACTATGAAATTGCTCAAAATATCTTGTTAGTCAGAAGCATTAATAAATTCACTGAGCTCCTGACACATAGCTTCTCTTTCACAAATATTTGTTCCATTAATCTGCATACCTAAATGCTTTATCTACACTTCTTTTAGTGGAAAATCTCAATTTGTTGATTTAAATGGTTGAGTGAATACCTTATCTTATCTAGGGATGCACGATATAATCGGCCCCCTATCGGTATCGGCCTTAAAACTGAATATCAGACATCGGCCACCCCACCGAAATTTAACCCGATATTTGATCAGCTTCTGAGTTTCTAAAGTCTAAAAAATATATATATATATATATATACTACTTCTTCTTCTTCTTCCTCAAAAACTTCCTTTTTACAGACTTAAAAACTTCTAAAGACGAGGGAAAAAATATTGATACATTAAAATATCACAATATCTTCATATGCTGATATATTGCCATTTAAAAACACCATATCAATCTCTTTTACTTATGAAATATTGCTATATGTCATCGAAATTTTGCCATATTTTTATATGTTGATATATTGACGCGGTATCGATCTATTTTACTAACAAAAGCTCACAAGAATTTGCAAAATATCACGAGAGTTTGTAACAGAACAATAACATTTCACGAGATTTTGAAAGTAAAATAGATCGATACCGCGTTTTAAAAAAATCAATTTGATATCAGCATATGAAAATATATGTGAGAATATTATTTTTCAAAGTGTCAGAAATGGATAACAAAACTGCTATTTTCAATGACTGCGTATTATTGTCCAGCTTTAACATCGGTATTGGTTATCGGCTACATGAGTTTTAAAATATCGGCATATCGGATATCGGCCAAAGTCCCAATATCGTGCATCCCTAATCTTATCCACTGTATTTACAGTTTTTTTTTTTTTTTTTTTTTTCAAAAAATCATCAATCTACCAATCTTGCAAATCTCTGGGTTTTATTGGAGATATCTGGGTAGTATTTGAAATTGCATCATGATTTAACAATTTCTCAAAGCACAAAGCCCAGTCCTCATGCAGCCGTACCTCCAAACTGCTCTCAAAACAGATGTTGCTTCCAGCCTCTATTGCACAGTCGAGTTTGTAGGCCCCTAAGTGCAAGTGTAACGACTCCTGAAAACAATATTTGTTTGAAATTTAAATTTTCTCCCACTGTAATAGCCGTACCAATTACCTGCACACAGCCAAGTATGGAAATTAGGTAATAATTATTTTTAGAACATTTCCAGCGGCATCAATATGTAACTGGGACTTAACAGCAGTGCTTCTGACATTGCAGCCCATGAATCTCAAACCATTCATCTGAATATATAGTACACACTAGCGAAAAGGGAGACTTCAGAAGTGTCAAACATTTATTTATAGACATCAAAGAACTTTGTGAAAGATGTGCTTTATTTCTTCATGTTTACACCCATATAAAATGTGTCCTTAGATACACAAATATGTATGACAAGATCAAATAAACTATGACAGCAGGTTTAGACGTGCACTAACAGTAAATTAACTAGTACCCAAAATCCAAATTTGTAGATATATTTGTCAGATGTGAAAACTGTTGCAACTGCTGGAATGTAAGATTTCTGTTTGGCTTTGTTTGAGAATACAGTGATGAGTTTATCCTTGCTGCAGGTGTATTGTCCGTGAACTCTTTCAGAAAAGAGTCCTATAAGTGGAGTGCATGGGAAAAAAGAGAAACAGCGATCATCTTTTGAGAGAGTGGAGGTGGAGGATTAGAGAAGAGAGAGGGTGAGATTTGCTGAGCAGAGCTGGAAGTTCACAAAGGAAGCTTGTGTGAGAGAATTGGTTTCAGATACGTACAGGAGACAGATAGCAGGCAGGGGGAGGAGGTATAAAGTAAGTTCCATCGAGGGAGAAAAAGATCTGTTTATCAGAGAATTTATCAATCCCTACAGCTGACTCAGAGTGAGGAGACTCAGCTTTTAAGAAGCGGTAACGACTACAAAGTACAAGTTTTTATCTCTATATTATTTCTAGGTGACATTTATGCATAGTAGTAGTGGCAGAATAGTAAATATCTTTTAGAACAAATTTCAATGTGTGCTCGTTACTTTGACAACATGTACCAAACTGAACATCCTAACTTTATGCAAATACAACTTAAGCTGAAAGTTTGGGAACTGGTTCTAGGTATCTAGGACCAAAAAAAAAAAAAAAAAAAGATCAGTTTGCTTAATAAGAACTCAAGCAGACAAATGCAGAAATTTAAGTAATATGCAAGTCAATTTATTATATTGTAGTACCGTTTTCAGTGGTTGCTGATACGACGCTGCATGTGAAAGGCATCCTTAGTTTGTCTGGATGAATTTTATGATACAGGTTAGTAAACAATGGGTATTATTTTACACAAAAGGTAAAGAAAAGCATATGATACAAAAAATACAATAAAATGTCACCACTGACATACTTGGCTGTCAGTTATTCACTGTGTATATTACTTTAACAAATTAAATGAACAT